TTGTATAGCGTTGGATTAATATTGTTTAATTATTACTTAACTGTTTTAAATTCTCAAATGTTTGCTAAATGCTGCTTTTGTAAATGGAACCCTATTATGCCATCCTTTGTTATCCTGTGCACTTGTATATTTGCTGCGTCGCTTGCCGAGTATGTCATATACTCACCTTGCAATCATTCATCAGAGGAAGAGTTCTTCAATGAGGCTGATGGTGTGGAGGTTTAGGTGTAGCCTTGGTCAAGCTGCCTGTGGAGTGGAGTCGTCCGCGCCGTTTATCTTTTTCCGCTGCTTAGATCTTTATTGATTGAGAGGAACTATCTACCTCTGTAATGACATTTTATTCGCTTATTAATTAGAGTAATAATTGTACTCTATTATCAATTTGTTATTGTGTGCCTCGGCTGATTCCTGGACGAGGGTTCACACACATGTAAGCGTTTGGAATTTTGGATAGAAATTCCGGGCGTGACAAGTTGGTATCAGAGCCCCTTGACCCTAGGTTATGCCAAATGGTTACCCATAGAAGCCCTCTAAAAATATTGGAAAAGTAGAACTGTTCTCCTCTCTTTCTCTTTTAATTAAACCAAACTAATGGCACATGCATTTCATAATCTCTTTTAATGGTTTTCGTTCAAAATTTATTCCAGCGTTATTAGTACTGTACATCTATTACTGTACTAACGGCTCATTTTCCAGCAAAAGTTTTACAATGTTGTTTCATTTAATCTTGCTGCAATAAAATAAATTTAGCAAGTTGATTTTATAACTTTCTTTTATTTCTTTTGAACCTGTTATTCAAAAGTACAAAACTTGTAACCTTGTTTCTGACTTTTCCAAAGCTTGGTTTACTTTATTTACTTACCTTTTACCTTGATTTTCAAACTTTATTCAAATTAATCCAAAAACTTGTGCTATTAATTGGATAGATGTTTTAACTCCCTCCTTTCACTTGTCTTTAGATGCCGCGCTACAAGCCTGAGTACCTGTTTGGTGTTGAGGGTTTTGTCAAGGAGTTGCGTACGATGTCCTTTGTCATTGGATTTGGGAATGCCCCTTTTTATGCTCAGATCCGTCATGACCGTCATGAAGAGAAGTGCCGAGTTAAAGTCACCTTAAATAGTAACAGTGAAGATATCCCATCGGTGATGTTCGAAGCTGGAGGAAGGAACTACATCCACGCATGTCAGGAGGTGGCAAGGATCGCCATAGGAGAGCTCCGTGATCGCTACAGTGATCAGTTGGTTGACACTGAGTATCGCTACCATCCTCGTCAACCCCAGGGAAGTGACCGTGGCAGTTATCTTGAGACTGAAGAGATTGAGAATGATGCTACTACAAGACATTTGGTTGAGATGCTATGGGCTATGGATGAAAGTCGTGCGGAGACCGTGTTAGCAGCTCAAGATCGTGAAGACCGGAATCGTGGTAAGATTTGCAAGCTAGAAGACAAGGTTGATCGTTTGGAGAAGGAACTAGCCGCGTTAAAGGGAGAAGCACCGCCGCAGAAGGCCAGGATTCGTCTTACGGCAAGGAAGAGAGCTCTATTTGTCCCTCGTTATCAATTGGCGCCAAAGGTTCGTGTGGTGGAGAAAGAAGTTGCCCCAGCAGATCCTCCGGTCATCATCATAAGTAGTGATGAAGAAGAGGAATCCAAGCGCAACCATTCTAAGATTGAGTGGGTAGCAACTCAAGATGATGAAGACGACCCGAATGAGCCCTGAATCGACCTCCGATGCTTGGAAAAGCTAGAGTAGCTTGTTAAACCGTTGTCTTAGATCGTTGTGTTAGTTTGCTTGTTTTAAGCTTGCTTGTGTGTGTGTGGGTCTTGCATGTGATTTACATCAGTGGTGGGATGTAAGTGCATGCGTTTGTTTGCTTTTGAGTGTTAGGAAGTTGGTGAGTTTAGTGGTGTGAGAGTTTTCAGTTTGTAATAATGAAACTCAGTTAAGATCAATAAAAGTTAAAGTAATTCTCTGTCCTAAGTAGTTTCCCCCAGTTTCTCTTCTTGTGCCCTGTCTATGCCAGATGGTGAACACTCACAGCAACGGGAATGGTCCCAACCTCAACAACCCCAATAATAACAACAATGGAGAGAATCCAACCCTTGCTCAAGTTCTTGCTCAACAGACTCAGTTAATGAACATGATGATGCAGCAACTTTAGAATCAGCAGAACCAAGGAAATAACCATGCACCTCCCCAGAACAAGTTAGCAGAATTTCTTCGTGTGAGGCCGCCTATTTTCTCTAGTACCACTAATCCTGTTGAAGCTGGTGATTGGCTGCATGCCATAGAGAAGAAGTTGGATTTGCTTCAGTGCACTGATCAGGAGAAGGTCTCATTTGCATCACACCAGTTGCATGGCCCTGCCTCTGAATGGTGGGATCACTTCCGCCTGAATAGGATTACTGCTGAACCTATCACTTGGCTTGAATTTACCGCTGCTTTTCGGAAGACGCATATACCATCGGGAGTGGTGTCTCTCAAGAAGAAGGAGTTCAGGTCGCTCACTCAGGGATCTCGCTCTGTTACGGAGTATCTGCACGAGTTCAATCGTCTTGCTCGTTATGCTCCGGAAGATGTGCGCAATGATGAAGAGCGTCAGGAGAAGTTCTTGGAAGGACTTAATGATGAGCTTTCTTACCCACTCATGACTGGAGATTATTCTGATTTCCAGAAATTAGTGGATAAGGCTATTCGTCAGGAGGACAAGTATAATCGCATGGAGCAGAAGAAACGCCGGATTGCTCACTTCAAGGCACAACAGGGGAGTAATCAGAAGCCACGTCTTACTTTAGGACCCCAGTCTATGCCACATGGAGGTTCTTCGTCTGTTGTTCGTCCGCAACGTCAGTTCTTCAACAACAACGCTGGCAACAACATCCGCAATCAAGCTCCACGTCCTGTTGCAGCTCCAGCACAGCAACAACCTGCCAAGAGGGAGCAAGGCAGCAAGCCCGTGGTGTGTTTCAACTGTGGAGACTCAGGACTAGGGATGCAAGTGGGGCGGGCTTTTTTTTCGGCCCGCAGTCCCGCCCCACAAAAAAGCCCGCCAATTTGCGGGCTGGCCATCCCGCGTGGACCTTGCAAAATTGTTTGGCCCATCCCGCACAGCCCGTTGGGCGCCACGGCATTAGGGCACAGACTGGGAGACGCGAGACGCAGCCGCAGCGGCGCAGCCGAGACGGGAGACGGGAGACGGGAGACGGCGGCGGCGAGACGGCGCCGCAGCGGCCGCTACTCTCGTCTTCCTCATCGCCCATCCATCCAAATCCAGCAACCGACGCCCTCCAGTCTCCTGATCCAGTGAAATAGCGAATCCAGTGCATTTCATACTTCAGTTCTTGATAGATCCATGTAATCCAAATCCTGCAGCTTGCGATGCTGCGCTGCCGCCTCCAGATCTCTACACACTAATTAAGGTACAAGATCGAACTAACCTTTCATGTGTTTCTTGTGTATTTATGTGAATCAACGAATTGCTTCTCCAAGAATGGCAGCAGGTTGTCTCACTCACTCTATTTGTTTTTGTATATGTTAAACTTTGTGTGTGATTGGTGATCTAGCCATTGTTATACTGGACATCAGCATCTGCAAATGATCTATTGCATCTTTTTTTTATCTAATTAATGTGGTGCATGATCAGCTACCACTGGTTTGACATAACAAGATTGATAGGTGCTCATTCAGAGAAGTTTCCTTCAGACTAATTTCTTAATTATTAGCTTCAGATTTTTTTTCTTGTTCTATAGTATATAAAGTACAGTTACATGTAGTAGTAATATTCACCCCAGATGTTACACTGGATAATTATTTTTTCATGTTTTCTCTGCATCTGCATTAGTTATTCAGAATTTCATCTTGGTGAAATAAACAGAACACTTACACAACTGTTGGCCCAATCAGACTATCAGAGTACTGTTCTAATAAAGGACCAATCAGGCACATGTGCTGATAGTAGAGTGCTACGCATTCTTTTTATTATTTGCCCTTCATGATATATAGTCTATTTGTTTTGATTTTTGAAGTGCTATATAGTTCACAAGTGCTCGCAATTTTACTCTTTTCATAAGTGCTCGTAATTTTACTATGCTCACAATTTTGCTCTTTTCAGCACAAATTTTCTTCCATGTCGACCCCATCATCGTTTGAAGCTACTGAAGAGGCAACCCTTTTAGGGGCAAAGCGGAAGTCTTCTTTAGATCCTCCTTCAGCCAAGCGACCACGGTCACCTATTTTGCCATTAGTAAGGTCCCCAGGGGTGAGACACATAATGTCCCAAGTGAGCTCTCCATCTGTTAGATCTCCAATGGCAATTATCAATTCTTCAAGGCTAAGAACTCCATCACCAGCCCCAACTTCTAATGATATCGATATGACAAATCAGACAAGAGCGACTCCTTGTGGGAGTCACGGTAAGAAATTGCTGACTTTTCTTTGAAATTATTTGTTCTGATTTTTGTCGTTATCTATCCATGTCTATGAATTATTATTTTTACATTAATTGATTGCATGCATGTACTGCAGTTATATAATATGTATGCAATAGCCATTAATTGATTGTTACAGTAATCTATTCATGTCTATGAATTAATTTATATTAATTGATTGTGTGCATGTACTGCAATTGCACAATATGTATAAACTGAACATAGAGTACTTGTCGAAATGTCGCTGGTATACTTATAATATTCGTATAATACTTGTCAGTGCAGTATTTTTACTTTACTTGTCACTAGTGTATTTATAGCAATATTTTTGTGCTTAGCCACAGGGAGAGCAAGAAAACTGAAATCTACAATGTGGAAAGAATTTGATCCAATACGTACTAATGATAAACTATCACATGCTAAATGTATCCACTGCAATAAGGTTTTCGTGGCTAGCCGATCTTCTGGGACTAGTCAGTGCCTTAGACATTTGAAAGTTTGTAAGGTCAGGCTTAGAATGCACCATTTGATTGAGCATATGCATGCCAACTTGTCCCCTACCGCCGATGTTATGAAGAATTGGAAATTTGACCAAGAAGTGTCACGGAAAGAACTTCTTAGGATGATTGTGTTGCAAGAGTTACCCTTTAGCATTGTTGAGCATGTTGGATTTAGGAGATTTGTTGCAAGTTTAAATCCATATTTTAAGGTGATATCAAGAACCACACTGAGAAATGATTGTATGGCTGCTTATGAGGATCATAAGTTAGCTTTATTTGATGTCTTGAAGAGCTCAAATTCTCGAGTATCTCTTACTGCCGACATGTGGACTTCCATCCAGAACTTAGGCTATTTGTGTGTTACCTGTCATTACATTGATAATGAATGGAAGTTGCAAAAGAGAATTATAAAGTTTGCTCTAGTGCCGACCCCACATGATGGCATCACTATGTTTAGTGAAATGCTAAAGGCCATTCAGGAGTGGCATATCGAAAATAAGTTATTCAGTGTTACCTTAGACAATGCAAGTGTGAATGATACAATGATGACTCATCTGAAAACCAATCTTGTTGGTAAGACAATGTTGCCTTGTGATGGAGTGTTGTTGCATTTCCGCTGTGCTGCCCATATATTCAATCTAATTGTCCAAGATGGGCTAAAAACCATGAGCAACGCCATTAACAGTATAAGAGAAAGTGTTAAATATGTTCGGAGTTCGCAATCACGTGGTCAAAGGTTTGAAGAGATGATTGCTCAAGTGGGAATAAAAACTAACAGACGACCATCGCTTGATGTATCAACGAGATGGAATTCGACATACTTAATGCTCGAGTCATCTTTATTGGTCAGAATGGCCTTTGAAGCCTTGGATCGGCATGACATAAATTATTTGCATCAACCCTTCGATTATCAATGGACAATGGCTGAGAAGCTTTGTGCTTTGTTGAAAGTTTTCTATGAAGCTACTGTTGCAGTATGTGGTATGTTGTACCCAACTTCAACATGCTATTTTCATGAACTTTGGAAGATAAAGATGGTTTTGGACAAGGAGGCTACAAATGAAGATGTCACCATTGCATCTATTGTCAAGGAAATGAAAGAAAAATTTAAGAAGTACTGGGACGCTCAATACTTGCAAATATGTTTCCCGGTTATTTTTGATCCAAGGTATAAGTACAAATTCATTGAGTTTCGTTTGAAGTCTGCATTTGGAGCTGCTGCAACTCCTTACCTTAAGGAAATCAAGAGTAATATGCAGAAATTGTTTGATGAATATTCTGCCAAGTATGGGGGCTCAAACAACATCAATTCTCAGCCCGAAACAAGTGTTGAGCAGAATGTTGATGCAAGTAATCAATTCGCTGATTGGAGACAGTTTCTACATGACAAAAGCAGGAGCAAAGTAAAGAGTGAGCTTAGTCGATATCTTGCTGATATGCCTCAGGAAGGTGATTTCCAAGATGGGCATGATTTTGATATCTTGAACTGGTGGATGGTAAACAAAACAAAGTACCCTGTGATTTCACGAATGGCACGTGATGTTTTGGCTATTCCAGCAACATCAGTGGCATCAGAGGCAGCATTTTCAACTGGAGAAAGGATCATTAGTGACTATAGAAGTAGACTTTCGAGCAGTACTGTAGAGGCATTGATTTGCCTTCAAGATTGGATGAGGGCAGAAGGTTTGGGTGATTTCTTTGCACGTGATCTTGCTGAGAGTGATGACCAAAATGTGCAACATTCAGGTATTTAAATTGAGATTCGTTTGAATTAACTTGGCTATTCTATATTTTTGTATAGTTGTATACTACACCACTAACATCATTGTTTCTTTTTTATTAACATCTAACAGTCCAGCATGTACTCTTTTTTATTAACTCCATTGTTTCTTCCTATACAGGTGAAAATGCCTATACACCTCTAGTAACATGTAGTACCAGCACAACAACCAGCAGCAGGTTATATATCTCACTATCCTCGATAACTGCTTGTTATTGTCAATTATGTCCTTTAATTCAGATTTTGGATGCATTCTTAATTGATGAAACTTAGTACATATTTACTCCATTCTACAATATGGAATAACGTTGTGATCAGTCGGTTGATGAATTCATTTCTAATTTTCGATTAGTAGTTTCTCCACTCTAACTTTATTAAATTTAATGTGTTGAAGGTAATATAGAAAAAGACCGGAAGAGCTCATAGAGTTGGAAGCAGTTGTTTGTCACTTTGTCAATTGGGACAGTTGGTTTATCATGAAGAGAAAATGCATCATCATCACTCTAACTTTAGTCATGATGTTGAAGGAAAAGAATGGTGTTCTTATTCAGTACTATACTTGTTATGTCATTGAAAAAGAATACTTTCACATGAAAATAATACAGTTTTCATGTGCTAAATTTGGGATATGGAGTAGTTATGTGCTTGTGTGATTGATGAACCTAATTAAACAGAGATGTGCACATTGTGGGCTGTCCAGCGGTGCCCGTTGGGCTGTGCAATCCCGCCAAGCCGTGCGGGGCGGGCTGCCGTTTGCCCGCACATGCAGTTTGCGGCTGGTGTGGGGCGGAGCGGGACGGCCCACAACCCATCCCACTTGCAATCCTACTCAGGACATTATGCTGACAAGTGTCCGAAGCCCCGACGCGTGAAGGTTGTCCCTGCTCAGAGCAACTCTGCTGTACCAGCATCAAAGGCCCGTGTCAATCATGTTGCAGCTGCAGAAGCTCAAGATGCTCCAGATGTGATTTTGGGTACGTTCCCTGTTAACTCAGTTCCTGCAACAGTACTTTTCGATTCTGGTGCTACACATTCATTTCAATCTATGAGTTTTGCGGGAAATCATGGGATGGAAGTAGAAGATCTTAGACGTCCTTTGATGGTTAGTACCCCAAGTAATCAAGCACTCTCTTTGCAACGTAGCCCCTCGGTCAGAATAGAAATTCAAGGAGTACCATTTCTGGCCAATCTTATCTTATTAGAATCCAAAGACCTTGATGTCATCCTGGGGATGGACTGGTTAGCCAGACATAAAGGTGTGATAGACTGTGCCAACAGAAAAGTAACTCTCACCAGCAATGATGGTCGAGTTGTAACTGTTCATGCATTGTCTTCTGAGTTTTTAAGGTCAAGACTGAACCAGATAACTTTGGAAGAGATTCCTATAGTCCGGGAATATCCTGATGTGTTCCCAGATGATTTACCTGGTATGCCGCCTAAAAGGGATATAGAGTTCAGAATAGATTTGGTACCTGGAACAACTCCGATCCATAAGAGACCATATCGAATGGCAGCCAATGAGTTGGCAGAAGTTAAGAGGCAAGTAGATGATTTGCTTCAGAAAGGATACATCAGACCGAGTTCATCACCATGGGGAGCTCCGGTTATTTTTGTGGAAAAGAAAGATCATACCCAGAGGATGTGTGTGGACTATCGTGCATTAAATGATGTGACTATCAAGAATAAGTATCCGCTACCCAGAATTGATGATTTGTTTGATCAGCTTAAAGGTGCCACCGTTTTCTCCAAGATAGATCTTCGATCAGGGTATCACCAGTTGAGAATCAAGGAGGAAGATATACCCAAGACAGCTTTTACCACTAGGTATGGATTGTTCGAATGTACTGTTATGTCTTTTGGACTTACCAATGCCCCTGCTTTCTTCATGAACTTGATGAATAAGGTGTTTATGGAATACCTAGATAAGTTTGTGGTGGTCTTTATTGATGACATTCTTATCTACTCCCGAACCAAAGAAGAGCATGAAGAACATCTTCGCCTTGCACTAGAGAAGCTACGAGAACATCAACTGTATGCTAAGTTTAGCAAGTGTGAATTTTGGTTGTCTGAAGTGAAGTTCCTTGGTCACGTCATCTCAGCAGGAGGAGTTGTCGTCGATCCTAGTAATGTGGAATCCATAACCAACTGGAATCAACCAAAGACAGTTTCAGAGATTCGCAGTTTCTTAGGCCTCGCAGGATATTACCGGAGGTTTATAGAGAATTTTTCCAGGATTGCTAAGCCAATGACACGACTGCTACAGAAAGATGTGAAGTATAAATGGTCGGAAAAATGTGAGCAGAGTTTTCAAGAGCTGAAGAATCGCTTAATATCAGCTCCTATCTTGATTTTACCTGATCCAAGGAAGGGTTTCCAGGTGTATTGTGATGCATCCAAACTTGGGTTAGGCTGTGTTCTGATGCAAGATGGGAAGGTGGTTGCCTATGCATCTCGTCAGTTACGTCCGCATGAGAAGAACTACCCTACTCATGATCTTGAGTTAGCTGCAGTAGTTCATGCATTGAAGATTTGGCGTCATTATCTTTTCGGTACTCGTACAGAGGTATATACCGATCACAAGAGTTTAAAGTATATCTTTACTCAGCCGGATCTGAACATGAGACAAAGGAGATGGTTGGAATTAATTAAGGATTATGACATGGGAATTCATTATCACCCAGGAAAGGCTAATGTAGTGGCAGACGCTCTTAGCAGGAAAGGCTATTGCAATGCTACAGAAGGACGACAGTTGCCATTGGAATTATGCAAGGAATTTGAAAGATTAAATTTGGGAATTGTCAGTAGAGGTTTCGTTACGGCCTTAGAAGCGAAGCCCACTCTAATTGATCAAGTTAGAGAAGCCCAAATTAATGATCCTGATATTCAAGAGATCAAGAAGAATATGAGAAGAGGAAAAGCTATCGGTTTCTTGGAAGATGAGCAAGGAACTGTATGGCTGGGCGAGAGAATCTGTGTCCCCGACAACAAAGATTTAAAAGATGCAATTCTGAAAGAAGCTCATGATACCTTATAATCCATTCACCCTGGTAGTACTAAGATGTACCAGGATCTCAAGGAAAGGTTTTGGTGGGCAAGTATGAAGCGTGAAATCGCAGAATACGTAGCAGTATGTGATGTTTGTCAGCGAGTCAAAGCAGAACATCAGAAACCTGCCGGTTTGTTGCAGCCTTTGAAGATTCCTGAATGGAAGTGGGAAGAAATCGGTATGGATTTTATCACTGGTTTGCCCAGAACGTCATCAGGCCATGACTCTATTTGGGTAATAGTCGACAGACTTACCAAAGTGGCACATTTCATTCCGGTAAAGACAACTTATTCCGGTAGTCGCTTAGCGGAATTGTATATGGCAAGGATTGTGTGTTTGCATGGCGTCCCTAAGAAGATAGTGTCTGATCGAGGAAGTCAGTTTACTTCAAATTTTTGGAAGAAACTTCAGGAAGAGATGGGTTCTAAGCTGAACTTTAGTACTGCTTATCATCCGCAGACAGACGGACAGACCGAAAGGGTGAATCAGATTTTGGAAGACATGTTGAGAGCTTGTGCTTTAGATTTCAGTGGAAGTTGGGATAAGAATCTACCCTATGCAGAATTTTCATACAACAACAGTTATCAAGCTAGTCTGCAGATGGCTCCTTACGAAGCACTGTATGGTCGGAAGTGCCGCACTCCGCTTTTGTGGGATCAAACGGGAGAACGTCAGGTTTTCGGGACGGATATCCTAAGGGAAGCAGAAGAAAAGGTGAAAATCATTCAAGAAAGATTGCGTGTGGCTCAGTCTCGACATAAGAGTTATGCCGACAATCGCCGCAGAGATTTGAGTTTTGAAGAGGGAGATTATGTGTATCTTCGTGTCACGCCTCTACGAGGAGTTCATCGTTTTCATACCAAAGGAAAATTGGCACCGCGTTTTGTGGGACCTTATAAGATTGTCAGTAGAAGAGGAGAGGTTGCTTATCAGTTGGAGTTACCTCAATCTTTGGCAGGAGTCCATAATGTGTTCCATGTGTCGCAACTGAAAAAGTGTTTAAGAGTACCTACCGAAGAAGCTAATCTTGAACAGATAGAAGTCCAAGAGGATCTGACCTATGTGGAGAAACCAATCCGTATCTTGGAAACAAGTGAGAGAAGAACCAGGAATCGAGTTATCCGTTTTTGCAAAGTCCAGTGGAGTAATCACTCGGAAGAAGAATCAACTTGGGAACGAGAAGATGAATTGAAGTCAGCTCATCCGTTTCTGTTCGCCAGTTCTTCTGAATCTCGAGGACGAGATTCTGTTTAATGGGGGTAGGTTTGTCACACCCTAAAAATTCAAAAAAATATAAATTGTTGTTTAAATGGAATTTTTAGAAATAATTTTAAAAGTCTTGAAAAGAAGATCTAATTTTAATTAATAAATTCCAATATAAAATTGGGCCAGATAAAATTTCATTAAATACTTTGCTTAATTCTATAATTCCTAGATTTTTCTGGGATTTATTTGAGCTAAGAAAGTATTTTTAATAAATGGAATTGCATTTAAGAAATAATTTAAATTGAAAAAGGTTTTAAAAGTCTTCTTTTGGCTTTGGGCCGAAAGTCGGCCCAAAACCGCCTTCTCTCTCCTCGGCCCAGCCGGCCCAGTCCGCAGCTGCGCGCGCGCGCCCGCTGCCGCTGACAGGTGGGGTCCACCTGTCAGGCCCGTCGTCTTCCTCGGGCCGAAACCCTAGCGCGCCGCCGCCGAGCCGCCGCCGTTGTTTCCTTCCAATCCGGCCGTTCCTTTCCTTCTCCGGCCGAATTGATAGAGGGGAAATGATCTCCGGGATCTCCTCTACCTTTTCTCCTTTGGAATCATCGGCTAAAACGTTTTGGAAAGCGTTGGATTCGAGTTCGTCTCGGATTCGTTCTTCCCGAGCTTTCCTTCCTCGTCGCCGGTCGCCGTGGGCCTTCGCCGCCGCCTCCGAGTCCCTTTAAAAGTCTCCCCGTGGTCTCCTCTACCCGCCGCCACCCTCGCCTTCGCCTCTCGTCGCCGGAGTCGCCCTAGCGCCGTGTGCCCTAGCTTCGCCGTCGCCGCCGCCGCTCCAGCCGTGCTCCGCCGTCGTTCCAGCCGTCGCCGTTGTTCGGGAAGGCCGTCATCGTGGTCGCCGTCGCGTCGCCGTCCTCGTCCGCCCCTTCGCCGCCGCCGGAGATCACCGGAGCAGCGTCGCCGTCGACAACCCGAAGGTTCCCGCCGCTTCCTCCTCGTCGCCGGCGACGTCCGTTGCCTCTCCGCCGTCGCTTTGGTCGCCGGTGAGTTCGCCGTGCCGTCCGCTACCCGTTGGTGCTCTTCGTTAGCGTCCTCGCGCCGCCGTTCGCTGGTGAGCGTGCGCCGCCCGAGCCGTCTCAGCCGCCGAGCCGTCGCCGCCGCCGGGGTGACGTCATCGCTGACGCCATCGGGGTCGTCCGCCGTGAGCCGCCGTGGACCCGATCGATCTCGGCCGTCCGTTTGGATTGGATCGAATCTCGGCCGTCCGTTCGCGTGAACCGCCGCCCGTGCGCCCGGTCCACCGAAACCCTAGCCGCTGACGCAATAAACCTTCTTTTCCTTTTCAAAAATAATTCATTATTGCGTCATAATTCAATTTTAACCGATTTAAGTGTTTTAATCCAATTTAATCTTTAAAAATTCATAACTAATT